CAGGGGTGGGTGTAACAGAGATGAAAATGTGAATTTCACCAAAAGTAATGTGCAGTGATTGTTTGTGTTTTTGGAGCCGCCTACTGGTGGTTAGGCGCAACTGCATGCAACGGGTCCTTCAGGCGCATTCACAGCCCCTCCCACCAAAGCAGTAATGAAAGCTGGTGGAGGTAGGTGTACTGTGAAGCCGCTCTGCACTTTAAGTCATTTTAACCTTTAATTAATATATCAATAGGACTTGTTACAGATATTTAAGTGTTGTTAGAGCATATTTTGAAAAAGGTTAGCTGTGTTTGCATTAAATTAATAACTTTATAGACGAGATTCACACTAATGGAAGCTAGCTTTTCAGTCCTTTTAGTAATGTTTGGGTTTTTTCTTTTTGCCTTGAACAGACCGTTGTATGCAGTTGCAGCGCACACACACTGATGTATTATTGTGTGCTTGTTTTTACATCAGGTACGTTCAGATGTGTTTGGTAAAAATATGATTTGTAAATGTTTTATTGTTTCAACTGCCGGTGGCAGTTGACTGTTATACCTACTGATGGCAGTTAACTGTTTCAACTGTCGGCGGCTGCGCTGCCATTGTTGGTACTATTAACTATTTTATATGTTTTATCAAAAAGAAAGTATGTATTGCTCTGAAATGCAAGTTGTTAAATTAATATATTGCTGTTGTTATTAAATGCCACTATACGATCATATGATGGAAAAAAAGGAAAAGCAGTAATGAAAGCTGGTGGAGACCGTTGTATGCAGTTGCAGCGCACACACACTGATGTATTATTGTGTGCTTGTTTTTACATCAGATCCTGCCAGTAAAAAGCTCTGAAGGACAGTCCTGTGTCTGTGGCCTGATTGTATGTGTGCGGTGATTTGAGGCAACTCCAATAACCCTGGACGGACAACAAGAGGAAGCCGTCACACAGGCCCAAACGTATCTCAAGAGTCTGCTGGGAACGTCTGGCAGAGTCTCCTGTCAGAAGGAGCTTCAATTCCCACCTCTTGACAGAACTTCCAAAATGTTCCGGGGAAGGCGGGGGACATTGAGTCTGAATGGACCCTGTTCCGTGCCTCCATTGTTGAGACGGCCGACCGGAGCTGTGGTCGCAGGATCGTCGGTGTCTGTCGTTCTGGCAACCCCCGAACCCAGGGATGCTGTCAAGCAAGAAAGAGTCCTATCAGGTCTTTTTGGCCTGTGGGACTCCAGAGGCAGCTGACAGGTACCGGCAGTCCAAGCGGAACGTGGCTCGGGTGGTCGCCAAGGCAAAAACCTGGGCATGGGAGGAGTTCGGTGAGATCATGGAGCAAGACTTCCACATGGCTTCGAGGAGATTTTGGTCCACCATCCAGCGCCTCAGGGGGGGAAAGCAGTGCGCTACCAACACTATCTATAGTGGGGATGGTGTGCTGCTGACCTCTACTCAGGACGTTGTGGATCGGTGAGCAGAGTACTTCGAAGACCTCCTCAATCCCACCAACACGTCTTCCAGTGAGGAAGCAGAGTCTGGGGACTTTGGGTTGGCCTCTCAAGTCTCTGGTGCTGAGGTCACTGAGGTGGTTAAAAAGCTCCTCTGTGGCAAGGCTCCAGGGGTGGATGAGATCTGCCCGGAGTTCCTTAAGGCTCTGGATGTTGTGGGGCTGTGGTGGCTGACGCGGCTCTGCAATATCACGTACACATTGGGGGCAGTCCCACTGGAATGGCAGACTGGGGTGGTGGTCCCCTTATTTAAAAGGGGGGACCGCAGGGTGTGTTCCAACTACAGAGGGATCACACTCCTGAGCCTTCCTGGTAAGGTCTATTCAGAGTTTCTGGAGAGGAGGGTCCGTCGGATTGTTGAACCTCAGATTCAGGAGGAGCAATGTGGTTTTCGTCCTGGCCGTGGAACACTGGGCCAGCTCTATACCCTTAGGGAGATCCTGGAGGGTGCGTGGGAATTTGCCCAACCAGTCTACATGTGTTTTGTGGATTTGGAGAAGGCATTTGAACGTGTCCCTCGGGGGGCCCTTTGGGGGGTACACCAGCAGTATGGAGTACCGGGTCCTCTGATACGGGCTGTTAGGTCCCTGTATGATCGGTGTCAAGAGCTTGGTCCGCATTGCCGGCAGTAAGTCGGGCTCGTTCCCAGTGGGCAGCAGTAGCTCAACAGGTTGTCCAGTAATCGGAAGGTTGCAGGTTCGATCCCGGCTCCGCACAGAGAATTCTGCTGTTGTGTCCTTGGGCAAGACACTTAACCCACCTTGCCTGCTGGTGGTGGTCGGAGGGACTGGTGGCACTTGTGCTCGGCAGCCTCACCTCTGTCAGTGTGCCCCAGGGCAGCTGTGGCTACATTGTAGCTCATCACTATCAGTGTGTGAATGTATGAATGATACACTGTAGTGTAAAGCACTTTGGAGTCCTTACTCTGAGAGGCACTATAGAAGTGCGGGTCATTTATCATTTAGACTCCGCCAAGGCTTTCGTTTGTCACCGATTGTTCATAACCTTTATGGACAGGATTTCTAGGTGCAACCAAGGTATGGAGGGGATCCGTTTTGGTCGCCTGAGGATCAGATGATTTGCAGATGATGTGGTCCTGTTGGCTTCATCAGAACGTGATCTTCAGCTTTCGCTAGAGCGGCTCACAGCAGAGTGTGAAGCAGCTGGGATAAGAACCAGCTCCTCTAAAGCTGAGACCATGGTCTTGATTCGGAAGGGTAGAACGCCTTCTCCGGGTCAGGGATGAGGTCCTGCCCCAAGTGGAGGAGTTCATGAATGAGGGAAAACTGGAGCGTGAGATCGATAGGCAGATTGGTGCTGCATCTGGAGTGATGCAGGCGTTTTACCGGTCTGTCGTGGTGGAGAGAGAGCTGAGTCAAGGCAAAGCTTTCGATTTACCGGTCGATCTACGTTCCTACCCTCACCTATCGTCATGAGGTTTGGGTAGTGACCAAAAGAACGAGATCGCGGATACAAGCAGCCGAAATGAGTTTTCTCCACAGAATGGCTGGGCTCTCCCTTAGAGATAGGGTGAAAAGCTCGGCCATCCGGGAAGGGCTTGGAGCAGACCCGCTGCTCCTCCACATCGAGACGAGCCAGTTGAGGTGGCTCAGGCATCTGGTCAGGATGCCTCCTGGACGCCTCCCTGGTGAGGTTTTCTGGGCACGTCCAACCGGGAGGAGACCTAAAGGGAGACCCAGGACACGTTGGAGGGACTATGTCTCTTGCCTGGCCAGGGAACGCCTTGGGATTCCCCCAGAAGAGCTGGCCCAAGTGGATGGGGAGAGGGAAGTCTGGGCCTCTCGACTTAGGCTACCGCCCCTGCGACCTGACTCCGGATAAGCAGATGAAAATGGATGGATGGATGGATGGAGTGGTAAAAATGTGTATCGGGGATAAATCTACTTACTTTTTTTTTTCTTTTCAAGCACTTTTTTTTATTTTCTTGATTTTATTTGAATGATTTCTGGCCCTTTCTCTCTCTAACCTTCCTGCATGCTGCATCTTTTCTCCGTCTTCCAGAAAATCAGTTTCCTACTTTCTACCTAATCAGCCAAGGGATCTACCGAATGCAAAAAAAGCTTAAAGAGCAAGTCACCCCCAAAAAAACTTTTTTTTGCTGATAAACTAAATAAATGAGCGTCTAATCGTGCTGCAGACACGTGTAGTCAATAATTTGGCACTTCAGTGCACCTTAGTTAAAATTTAAATGTTCTGCCTAAAACTGGCAGTGTTGTGCCGTTGTCAGGTAAAAACTCTGCACTGTATTTTAATTTAAATCTGCCACAGCTATTGGCTAAGAGGTATGCTATGATGTAAACTGGTACATTATGATGTCACAATGCTGTCGTGAGCCTGTGTCTCAATTCAGGGTCTGCATCCTTCGTCGGCCGTTTACCTCACAGTGCCGCGACCAGGCCTGTCCCAATTCGAAGACTCCTTCAAATGCGGTTGACGAATTCGGCCCTCTTTAAAGAGCAAGTCACCCCCTATCAGAGTATTACCCCACTCCCACTTCCTGTTTGAAAAATGCAACAAATGCTGTTGCCTAGCAGACCGAGAGAGCAGAGTCGCTAACACACACACACACACACAGGCTCACAACGACATTGTGACATCATATGGTACCAGCTAACGTTCTAGGGTACCTCTTAGCCAATAGCGATGGCAGATTTAAATTCAAATGCAGTGCAGAGTTTTTACCTGACAACGGCACAACACTGACAGTTTTAGCCAGAAAATTTTAATTTTAACTAAAATGCACTAAAGTGCAAAACTATTGACTACACGTGTCTGCAGCACGATTAGACACACATTTATGTAGTTTATCAGAAAAAAAAGTTGATTTGGGGGTGACTTGCTCTTTAATATGTGCTGCGCTCCAGCAGCAATGAGTTCAAATCACCGGGGCGCAGATTATGAACTCAGCTGAGGCAAAGCACGTCAGAAAAGTACAGAAAGCACCAGAGAATATGGGCTGATATGAACGATCGCAAATTAATTATTTTGTTTTGGTGGAGCCATTTTGTGAATGCAGGAGCCATTACCGCTGCGTCCTCTCTGCTCATAGGATGCCCGCAACTCTGAGTCCATAAATGACGTCATATATGTAGATACTGGATCTTTCCTGGCCTTCCCGCAATTTGAATTTTGAAGAAACCCACAACTTGCTTCTGGATTTAAAAATGCATTGTAATTACTGTGTTTCTGACAATTGTACCGAGTAAATATGACCATTTTCTTTCCCTGTAATGCCTTATTACCACATTACAGCAAAAAGCAATGCGTTACAGTAATTAATTACATTTGCACCGCGTTACTCCCAACACTGTTAACCACATCTTTATTATCATCATTTTACCCTTTTTTTGTTTGAATTGTGACTAAATGCTTCCCTCCAAACCCATGTGACAACCTTTAGCATGAGATTTAATTCAACAGTGAATTTAGAAGACATCTGTGGTTATCTCCTCCCTAAAAACAAAATACTTAAGATTAAATGCCACAGCAGCCATGAACAGCTTCAAACATTTTTAATGTGATGTTTGACCTGGTCGGGTTTACAGCGCATCAGATTATGTGGATGTCTTTATTTGAATATTTCAACAGAAAAGCTGTTAAAGGACACATATGGCCTTTAACTTTTATCTGTTCCAATAAATCTCACAGGACTTCTTTTCCGAGTAGCTGGCTTCCGTCGCACCTGTTCCAGATCTCACTTTCTCCTTCACCACCTTCACTACCAGACCACCCGCCAGAGCAATGCCTGCTGCAGCTTTCCCAATCTCAGCCACAGCGCTCAAGATACGAGTAGTTACTGCCACGGTGCCCCAGTGGTCTGAAACAGCCCCCCGGGTCAACGAGGACACCACAGGCCCTGATGGATCACAAACAGCCCCTGTTGATCCAGCAACCACTGGGGCATGCGTAGCCACCGCCTGAGCTAAAGCTGCAGCACACTGAGGAGGTCCAGCTCCTGCAGCAGCCGAGGCCACGGCGTGCTGCGGTGCTGCTAAAGCTAAAGTCCCCTGAGCTACAGGTTCTGCTGCGAGGAGAGCTGCTGAGCTAAAAGCAGCACCAGCTCCCAGGGCACAGCCCACACATGCTGCCACTCCCACAGCAGACCCACCTATGGCACCAACCTGGCCCAGGGCATCTAAAGCGCCCTCCTGAGGACTAGCAGCCTCAGCACCAGCAACAGCTCCCACAGAACCACCTAAAACTCCACCCGTTGCTGCACCAAGGGCCACGGCTGTTTTTCCAGAAGCTGCAGCCACTACGGCTCCTACTGCTTTCCCGACACCCATGCCTCCTGCTGCCGACATCCCGGCTAACTGCCCTGCTGCAAAGGATACGGAGTTTCCTACTAGGGACGCCCCTGCTGCAGCGGCTAAAGGGGCAGCTGCCCCAAACACGGCGCCGACCGCCATGCCCGTTGCTCCAGCCACCACCAGGATCTTAACTCTGTTCAGCACCTTGGCAGAGAGTGCAGCTTCCCTCCTCAAACGACTCAGGGACAGGCGGAGAGAGTGCCGCCTGCCAACACCCTGACGCCTCCCCCTGAACCGGTCACGCAGGAGGCCGAAGGCGCTCCTCCTACTCTCCTCACTCCACCTCTCGACTCTAAAATCTCCTCCACTGGACTCCAAGTCACACTTTCTTCGTTTTACAACTTTAACCTGGTCTTCCTCCCCCTCGGCTTGGCCTCGCTCCCTCAGCTCCTCTGTGATGGCGGCCTCTGCCTCTAAAAACATTGCATTAGTATAAAACCTCCCGGTATTCTGCTGCACCATTGCATCCACCTTCCTCAACAGCCATTTAACCTGCATGGAGTTATTCGGGTCTTTGTTGTTGAACACGTGGTATCTGCCTCCACACCTGTCGATCAGAGCTTTAAGACCGGCAGGGGCCGTTTCTCTTACATATTCCTCAATCCCAGTTCCCTCAAGGTCGTCCCCCCTGGTAAAAAGGACCACCGTGTGACGACGGACAGCTTCTTCTCCAAATATGCAGGTCAGCTGGCTGACAGCCTGGTTTTGATCTTCTGTGTATCGTCCTATTGGCACCACGAGGAGGAACGCGTGTGGACCAGGGGCAGACACACACACACATTTAGCTATCTCTGCACGAGTCTGCTCCACACTGAGGTGGGTGTCCCCAAAACCTGGCATGTCCACCACCGTTATTCTCCTCTTCCGCGTGACAGCCCGAACATCCTCCTGTGTGTCTTCTATCAGCTCAGCGCTCCCAAGCTCACAGACCTGGGTGACGGAGCTGGCGCTGATCCGCGACAGGAACCGTCTGTGGCCCAGGATGGTGTTTCCAGACGCACTCTTTCCAGATCCGGTCTGCCCCACAAGGACCAGTCGGAGTTCTTCACCCCATGTGCGATCGGGCTGGTCACCTCCACCGTCCATATAAACCCTTTTCTCCTTCTCTGAAGGAAACACGGTGACAGAAATAGTGATTTGATTAGACAGTTCATGTTAACTTATTTACTTTTACTTAGTTCGGGTAAAGCAATAAACCCTAAAATGGCTGTTCTAAAACCTGCGACAGGTAAGATGTAGCGGAGAAATCTAGACAAACCACAGAGGTTACTGTTGTATGGAAGCCCATTTCGGTCACTCGGATAAAAATATTTTATCTCATAATTTATTAAATAATTTAATTTAAAGACCACTTTCCACACTCGACTACTTTCGTCTACAATCTGCTCTTTAACGGTATTATTTCAGGGTATCTGCAGGTTTAAGGGAGCCAAATTTAAGATTTTAAGACCTTTTTTAAGGCCACAAATGATGTGTTTCAACCACGCCTGTCACGTACTTTGAGATTTATCAGCTTGTTAAAGTTCGTAATTAGCGTGACTACAAACTAGAAAAAATCGGCACGTCGCATGTGTGACGTCCCTACATAATCTCCCCCTAGCGTAGCTGCTACTTACCACATGACCAGATTTATGGTGGTTCTTTCCTCCTGTGGGAAGTTTGCTGAACTTCCAGTCCTTTTCTCTGTTTTCTCCGTGTCCGGTTCGATGACATCACTTACGTGAAGCGCATTTGTAGTCCTGGACTTATTTTCACACAAAACCTAAAATACACCCCCCACCCCCCCCCACCCCCACCCCAATAAGCGAATTCTTGGTATCAAAATGTGTCTTTAGAATTCACGGACATCATGTGAAATCCATGGCACAAAACAAACGGAATTAGAAAATAGCGTTTTTAGCCCCGTTGGCTTGCATTCTTTTTTTCGTTCTTCCGGGGACCCGTGATGCGGAAGTGACTTAGGCTCCCTATGGATAGTATCTCATAATCGTGAGATAACATTTCATGATTATGAGATAGCATAGTAGTCATAATTGCATAGTAGTCATAATTAGATTGTTTTTTTAAATCAAGAGTGGCAAGAATGGGCTTCCACAGCGTGGCTTGTCCACACGAGGCTGAAGTTGGCTTCCGATTCGGGGAAACGGCTAAAAGGCCAACACACCCAATTTTTCTCTACTCTGACCATCTTTAATCTGCTCTAGCTCAAAAACTACAACAGCCACACCATTCAAACCTGTTCTAGATTATCTTAGGTGTGTTCTTACTGTGCGTTATTTCTAATTCCATGTTGTCGTTTGATTATTCTACTATAATAGCAGATCAAATAAAACACAGTGTGGGATTTGTGAAACCATTCCCTGATTTGTGAAACTTCAACAAAGCCTTTTTTTAAAAATCGGTCTGCGCATGCCCCATAGTAGCACATGTCAGCGAGCACGGATAGTCTGACTATCTTGAAAATATGCCTCCAAAACAATTCCTCCGCTCCTCCATTGTTCTAACGGCGTAGTCTTTTTCTCCCGGGCCAGCTCTCAAGACAGGAACTCCGTCATATAACCGTAATGTATCGTACACCTCTGAAAAGCGCGGAGTGTCACCTTTCTGAAACCAGGGCTGAGGCAGCGGAGAAGAATGAGCATGGTGAGATGGATGAGAGGTAAGACAATCTGAGTCACTGAAAGATATCTGCAAGAAAAAGATTTTTTTATACTTCTTTGGGAATGGAGAAATATATAATACCTGAAAAATTCTCTTTTTTTTCTTGCAGCAAAAAAGCTGAACTTTTCATTAAACTGAAAACAGAAATGGAGAGACGTTCAATTATCTGAAGTTCTCTGGAATGTCGGAGAGTAAAAACGTTCGAGGCTGAATACTTATGCTTGTTTTTAATTAAGACACGCAAACATCAAAGTAATTTTTGCATAGTTGTGGCTGTTGTGAAACTGTGCTACATGTCACCGAAAAAATACAATCTGTGCTGAAGTTTCACAAATCAAGGAAAGGTTTCACAAATCCCACACTGTGTTTTATTTGATCTGCTATTAATGTGGAATAATCTAGAACAGATTTGAACAGTGTGGCCGTTGTAGTTTTTGAGCTGCAGCTGCTCCATCGTTGGCCAGATACTGAAAAAACGCATAAATCATGCTTTGTTGAAATTTCACAAATCAGGGAAAGGTTTCACAAACCCCAAACAAGGTTGTATGCCATCTGCTATTACAGTAGGGTCATCTAGAACAGGTTTGAACAGTGTGGTTGTTGTAGTTTTTGAGCTAGAGCAGATTAAAGATGATCAGAGTAGAGAAAAATTGGGTGTATTGGCCCTTTAGCCGTTTCCCGAATCGGAGGCTAACTTCAGCCTCGTCGTGTCCACCCCCAAACAAATGAAGCTAACATCTCCGCCACGGTGTGGCGTCTTGTACAGGCTATTTAACAGGACAAGACACAAGTAAAGGACTTTGATGATAAAAGAAAAAAACTAACTATTTTCCATACTTTGTTTTGTTTGTTTTAACACCCATTGAGTCCGCACTTTCTCCCCTCAACACAATGTTAGCGCGTCAAGAAGTTTCTGCACATAATCACATCCAACCAGAGGCTGTAGCTTCATTAGGATGAACTTTAATGCCTTAATCCCAGTTTTAATGTCGTAAAACGATCAAACCTCGCCACAACTGTAGAGATCTATTTTTGAGCGCGCTTCTGACCTTTCATCCTAATCATAAACTATTAGCATGCGCTATCGTTAGCATGTTGCTAACTTTTTTGACGGGGAATCAAGCATGGAGGATAAAAGGTCACCCTACCGTGGTCCATGTTTCAGCGCGTTTCCTGGTGTTTTACGGCGTCTTTCTTCACTCTGCTGAAACTCCAGCAGCCAAGCTAGGTCCACCTCTGCTCTCAGCCTCCAAACACCAACATTTGGCCTCCAGTGGAGAGAAACGGCTCTGTTGTTGCCCTCTGTTGGCTGACCGCAGCAGGACCGCCACAGACCGCTTTTACCGCATCTCGTCACTTTATTTCATTAAACGTGTAAACAAAATGGCTTGTTGTTGGTTCTGCAGCAAGAATATTGTTTCTCTGGATATACATATAATTATATAACAGTCGTTATACTGTTTTAAAGTTACATCAATCTCCATTCCATAGAAATAAATCATTAAATTATTCAATCTGACAAAAGGCGATGAACAGAGACAAGGTGGAGGTCCACACACACACTTCCTGCTCGACAACAACACAAGTTCTTTAAAGTGTGAAGTAAAAAAAGAGAAGAATGGTGGCGATCCCCTAAAATAAAAAATAAAAAATGAATCAACATTCAGGCATAAATCATATTCTGCTTCAGCAAACAAAATCTGGAGCGTCCTCACTCAGGCAGCTACGACAAGACTCTCTTTAGAAAAGCACCAAACGGAAAGTTTTCCCATCAAACAACTAAGCACAACCCAAACAAAAGCAGGCCGCGTCTCAATAAGGTTAAATTTAGGCTCGGAACAGTTTAAGCACGCAGGGTTTTACACATCACGAATCCATGAGGGGTTTGTAACGTTCGTACGTAAAAGTTTAAAACAGATTATATTCCAAAGTTCTGAGATAACTCTCACGTATTCAAATGTGAGTTTCCCTTGTTTTCCAGAAACATACAGTTAGATTCTCTCATTCTAAGCGTCTGCTGGTGGACAGCAGCCCCCGCCTCGGTCTCTGTAGGGTGAGGTTTCGGGTTGTTTTCACCAGAGCGACCTGCCTCAGCCGACGGCGACGTGTTGTCTTCACCGCCATCACAGTTCACAAGTCTCATGGACTTCACACCCTCCTCCTCCACCGTTTCTCTAGTTTGTGAAGCGCTATAGCTCAGAGCGAGAGCGGGAGATGCGAGGGCCTTTCCTGATTTCTTTCCTCTTCTCCTCTTTTCTCCTCCTCTTCTCCTCCTCTCTCAGGATCTTCTGGAAGGCTTCTGCAGTGTGAAGAACCTGAAAGGGATGGCATGTGACGTGGGGTACTCGTGTATATTTCTGGATGGAGGGTGAATCGTCAGGAGGGATGAAGCACAGAGCAGCATGCTACTCACGTCGTCTCTCTCTGTGCGGTACGGGTTCAGAAAGTCTGCAGACTTCTCGGTTATTCCGAGCTCCTGGGACATCTGATGCAGGAGCAGAAAAATCACAGCAGAGGGGAAGGAGATGTGTTACTGTTTTCTTCAAAGTGACTAAATCTGTTGCATCAGAGACGAGTGAACTCATAAATCCAACTACAGCTTGGTCTCTGGTATAATTTAGGTTATAATCCTTACGGCACAAAGCTAAAACCACAGACTAATCCCAGCAGAGGTTCAGATAATTAACCTTGAGACCTGCAGCCACGTTTGATCAGCTTTAAACACCACGTGAACGTTCAACACAGAGAGACGTGTTGTTTAGAGACAGGAGCTGTGAAAACGTACTTCCTCCTTACAAATGTCTCCTGCTTTCAGCAAACTAAACTCCAAATCAGACGAACCGACCCTTAAACGGCATCAAGCATGACCGAGTCTCATCCGTGTGGAGGAGTCATGTCCCACTCATCTTTACAGAACTGTCTATTGCAGACACATTAAAGGGTTTCCCAGCAGGAATGGCCCATATAAGGTCAAAGGTTAGACACTCATGGTTCCATCAGTTGCATCCCAGACCACCACACTACCGCCACCATGACTGCTATGTTGTTTTGGTGTTAGTTTGACTCCAGAAGGACCTAGAAGAAACACCTCCCAGAAAGTTTTGTGTCAGGAGTAGGGATGAGCCGGATACTCGTTTCAGACGAGTATCCGGTACGGATAAAGCATTTTTGACGAATACGAGCATGAAACGAGTAAAACTCGTAAATATCTGTAATCCTGCTGAAGGAAAATCCTCATTGGGTAACTGACTGTCTTCACGCTCTGTGATTGGCCAGTAACATAGAGCGCCCGCCCCTCCCTACACACAAAACTCTGCAGCCGGGAGCTCACAGCTCAGTCGGCGTCCGGTCCATCCACGCACGCACGCACGCACGCACGCACACACACACACACACACACACACACACACACACACACACACACACACACACACACACACACACACAGTAACGGATCTCTCTGTGCTTGCTTCACTGTTCACGTTTCTTCAGTACTCCCTAGGTTTTCTTCAGTTCGCCTCTTTTTAAAGTTACTTTAAAGTTATTTAAAATTACTTTTTTCGTAATGTACGTGGTGCACTTGACAAGACAGAGCTGAAAACGGCTTGTGCATGCGTCAGTCACTGCCTCCACTCCACTCCGGTCGGGTTTTTTGTTTTTTCCTCTCTCTCCTCTTCCTCAGGATCCACTCCCTCTTTCCTATTCACTCTCTCTCTTTCTTTACATGTATTAATCACAATTGTCTATTTTTTGCTAATTTTAAATATATTTTAATCATTTTCTAAATTATTTTTTCTATCTTACATGTTTTGTTTTTGTGAAGCGCTGTGTGATTTTTATCTTGAGAGGCGCTATAGAAAAGATCTTTTCTTCTCTCTCTCTTAATTCATGCACTTAAATATTAATGTTCTGATTTTATTGAAAAACTTGTTCTGTAATAGTTCCTTTACTGTTGTGATCAAAAACATTTAATCTCAGCTCTGAGGCTGCTCTGTAAATAGTAAACAATACACATAGCAACTTCTGATCAGACTTAAAATAATGTATTGATGTAAACCACACCCACTTCTGGTTAAACCACGCCCACTTCCAGGTTAGGCCACGCCCTCTCCCAGTACAGATACAGAGAGTGGTGTACTTGCTCATCCCTAGTCAGGAGGTTTTGACCTTGATCATCACCTCTGACCTGTAAGCGGCATTCCAGAGTTTTCCCCATTTCAGGAATGATGTGTGCTTTTTTATCTGTAAAAGTGATAATGTTACCTTGTACTGTGATATAATGTAGGCAATATATGTGGGTTTTTTTTAAGTCCCTGTCCTGTAGAGCTCCATGTAGTTTGAACCGAGTGCCGTTCAGCATTAGCCAATAGCGTTAGACTTATGTACAGATGTCAGTCACAGAGCATGCACAAGTGTTTGAGTACACACCTAGACAGATATAGAGTTGGTGATCTTTCTTATTAACAAGCAACTCTTATAAATAAACATAAACAGCATAACGTGAGGATATCATGTTAAAACGATGCATTTCAGCCAGTGGTGGACCAAGGATATTCCTGACTATGGGGCCATCAAAGGGGCACACTATTTACTGAGGGGCCAAGGATAGGTCCAACATCTTTACACAAATTTTCCAGCTGGAAATTCCCATTTGGACTTGGAAATGCATCCACTTATAATCTGACCATTGTTTTAAGTACAGGTGAGTGCAAGGACAGGGCCAATGTCCCTAGAACCACTAATATGTTTTAGCTCCGTTCCTGGGCTAGAGGTGAACATTCACCAATGAGAGGCATTGCTTGCCGCCGTAACCACAGCAGTAAGCAGAGTGGCTTAGGTGTAGACCTTTTTCAGCCTCTAGATGGCGCAGTTGAAGAAAAAACTCTGGATTTCTGCTTTGACTTGAACCATTGAAGTGATTCTGTATTCTGTAGGTCTGACAGTAAATCAGGTCTGGATGCGGCTGGTGGAACTGAACCCAGATAATCAGGTAAAGCGTTTTCTCCTGATGACATCATCATCATCTACATTCTGGTTACTCGGGTTACTTTTGTCTGATGCTGTCCTTCTTTGCTGATCAGACACCTTTAGCGACAAAACAGAAGATCTGTAACAGGTACTTTTCTCTTCACAACACCGAGGATTGACATTTCTGCACACCAATTTCATCAGTGCTGTTTTACTGCACTGCTTCCGTTATATCACTTTCAGTTCAGCGTGCTCCTTTACACAAGGGTTTGTTTAGCACCAGCCAGTAGAAAAGGAACATCTGTGCAGCGTTTACTCGTGGCCTGAAATCGAGCTGCTTTCCTTGTGTTGTGAAGGCCCCTTTCACTTAAGAGTGTGACGTTTGGAACGTCTGGTTTTACCAGTGTGAGGACATGTTGGTGGGCTCCTCCTGTGAACACCCCCGTCTGGTTGCAGAAATTCAGCCCCCAGCGCAGCAGGCCGCCCCAGTCGGCGTTACGGTCGTAGTAGTGATGGACGATCCGCGGGAAGCGCAACGCCACATCGCCAAAAAATGCTGTGTTCTCCACTACGTGTGAATAAGCTGTGAGGAGACAGAAGCGGGTGATTAGTGAACACAGTCTGAGGTTTAATCTGTGCTGATGGCACAAACAGAGCTGATAAAGAGGAAAAAGGAAAGTTTAGCTAATGGCCGACGCTGCTCAGGGGACACTGGTGACATTTCACTCGTTCACTGCAAATGACGACTTTAGTCGTCATTTGCATGTTTTCACTGTGTGGGCGTCGTACGAGCCCCCGCACCGTGAGAACAAACATCTCAGCTCTAAAGCCGATCTTCATCCGCATACATCACACGTCATGTGATCAGGAAGCAGAACATCCATGTGTTAGGAGATCGTTTTGGGAAGCTGCTGTAAAAAGTGAGGCTCGAACCGAAAAAGCTTCTGCCGATCACAATTCAACAACGGACTATGAAAGAACAGATAACGCTCAAAACACGCGGACTCTTCCTGATGTAAGAGGTGAGTCTCCGCTTTTTTTTGGTTGTTTTGGTGTCGACATCATCCTAGCGCAAAACATTCTGTGACTCTTAAAAGACAGTAAAAACAGTGAGAAACGCTGGCAGCGAATGAGTTAAAATACTACGGCAGATCTTAGGTTGGGCGTGTTCAGCAGCAAATGTGGGTGGAGCTTGAAAAACAGCAGTGATAAGGGGAGGTTTTAGTGAGTGGAAAAAAAGGAAAAGAGGTTAGAGGTGGTAGAGACCCGAGTTAACAATCTTGACCGGTTCAGATCGGACCCGTCTGGCAGAAGTTTCAGTGTCTATATAAATAAATCACGCCAGATTCCAACGATTTATTCTGTGGGGTACCCCAAGGCTCTGATTTGGGTCTGCTCTTGTTTCTACTATATACACACCACCTTGGACAGATAGCTGATTCTTCTATCACCTGTATGCAGATGAGACTCAGCTGTACTGCTCCTTTAGAGCAAGATCCTGGTTCTGGTCTATAGGGCCTTAAGCCTGGTTTATGCTTCTCCGTCAGCTCCGCAAGGG